AAAAAAAAAAGCCTGTAAGTGTCTTTAAAGTACCACAAGTCTGTCCTGCGATGCACTAAATGGTAAAAGAAAAAGTAACCTTTTGTGTAGTCAACAACTGCCTCCAATGCTGCTATTCGGACATCCACAAAGTGGCCGTATTCTGCATAGGACTTAAAGACAGCTGGGTCACTTGGGACATGCCCGTTCTTCTGTAGGACCCGAATGGCATTCAAGCAGCTATGTATACGAAGGAAAGGGAGGAAAGTTAGAGGGGAAAAAACAGGCAGATTCTGAATTCATCATCAGAGGACAGAAAGGAAAGTATTTTGGCATCATTATGGCCTATCACTGATTAATTTTAAAAGTTTTAAGCTATGCTCCATTTATATTTTGATATGTTCCTTTGAGCTGCACTTCAGAATTAGACAAACATAACAGTAATCAAAGAGGACTGCTCTTGACTTCCAAAGACTTGTAAAGAAAGTTCAGGACCATTAACTTTCTTCATGTTGCATAAAAGAAAAGAAAATCCAATCCATGCTAAGATAAAATTAGCAGTTAAATATAAATGCAGGTTAAATATTAGGAGATGCTCGTAGCTTTCTTCCCTTCAACTCTTTCCTCATGTGCTGCTCAACCCATGGGCTGGGTCCATACTAGTGAAGTGACTAGGACTTACTCATATCCTACAGTAGAACTTATGAAAATACAGAAAGAAAGTCTCCATAAGCAAGAGATTCTATTTTTTTGTTATTCAAGACCAAAAGAAAACAGAGCCAAGATTTCAACTGCTACAAATAATCTACTTTTAGAAGTGCTTAATGATACATTTTCTCCCAAGACAGTGTTTATAAAATTACTTTCTAGGCGCCTATTAAATCTCTCTTCTATCTCCTGGCTCCTGTATGTTTATTGACAATAGCGAGAAAGCTATTACAGGTTACGCTGAGTAAAATCTGAATAACTAAATCAGGATCAACTGTGGAAAAGGGTAAAGTAAAAAATAATATGGGACTAACTTTTTTCAGATACACATTTGCAGACGTTCAAAATGTTTACGTGCCATACCTGACCGTAATGGTGTGCCTGTAACTAGGTAGCAGCTTCTCCATGTTTAAGAACCTGGTAATTTCCTCAAGAATAAGGCGCACATCAGGATTTAGATTATCCAAGGTTCGAGCTTCATTGTTCACACTGACTGCAGGCGTTACAGAATTTGCAAGCGCATCTATTAATTCGGCACGGTAATAGTTATCTGAAAACTGAAGTCAAAGATCAATATATGAAACAACAAGCAATGCACATTTTTTAAAAAAACAAAGAGAGCACCCACCAAAGACACATTCCGCTAAACACACTTCTGTAGTCAAGGATACCCTTCTGACATTAGTTAGGCATGGGTAAATCTTATTGTCTTCTATGGAACATACGCATGAATAAACTACATGCAAGACTGAGTCCAAAGAACACGTTTATTTATTTGATTTACACCCACTCTTTGGACTATAGGAGACCCCAAAGCAGTTTATAATATAGATTAAAAGCACATACAATGATGTCCAAATAAAAAGCAAGACAATTCAAGAGCAATCCTAAACCATTTGCAACGTCTAGAGAAAAGTTAAATCCATCCAGAACTCTGGAAAATAGGAAGTTTGATCTATAGGTTAGATGAGGAAGAGCCGACAAAGCTTCTTGTGAAAAGCCATTTTATACTCTTGGCACTGCTACTGGAAAGGCCTTATCTGAAGTGCCAAACGTTTTTTTAAAAAAATTCTATAGGGATAGCTGCATTACTGTGTAGTCTATTACGGACTGCTGCCCCTCAAACCTTAGGTCAAATAAAAGGTTTCAGTCTTCAGAATGCCACGAGACTCTATAGTGTCTTTGAAGGCAATAGACGGTAGAACAGGGCCTCCAGTTGCAACAGGGGGAAGAGAATCAATAAACCAATCCCAAACCATGTAGTGGGGTTCATAGATAATTATCAGATAATTAAAATTTGCCTCAAAAGAGCTGAAAGCTCGTGTAATTCATGTAACACTGGATTACAGAGCTTCAGGAAGCAGATGATAGCAAGCATTCTGCTCCTTTCTGCCTTAGCTAAGATTTTTGACAACTTTTCATGTAGTGTGTTGCAATTATCTCTCATGGATGTGACCAAATGCATGATTGTGAGCAGAACTGTTTTTTCCAAGGAATGGCATGGATGGTAGTAATCAACCATGGCTAAAGGTGTCCAAGACACCCGTGGGCCCAGCAATAAACTGAGAATTCAGAAGGAAAGCCAGGTCAGTGAGCACCAACCGATTATGAACCTTATACTTCAAAAGGGAATCCAACTCCATCCATAGTCGTCTCTACTCCTAGTTCTGGAATAGCTTTTCCAGTGAGGAGCAGCATGTCTCAGTTATTTGGATTAAATCTCTGTTTATTTGCCCGTATCCAATCTATAATAAACAGGATCTCAGGACCTCCACAGAATTCTTAGCACTGATTTAAAAAGAGAGACAAAAGCTCACTCCATGGACTTACTTCTGAATGCATAAAGGAGTCTCCAGGAACACACAGGGTTAGGCTCAAGGAAGAATAAGGAGAAAGGCATGATAAGATGAAGGAGGACAAGACCATTCCACATTGTAACATTTGTTGCAGGCTTAATGTGTATCACACGTAAACACATGCCAATCTCATAATTGTCTTTTGCACATCAAAAACAGTGAGGTCACAAAGAAACAGTGGGGTGAAACAAAAACACATGCCAATCTCATAATTGTCTTTTGCAACAGTGGGGTGAAACAAAATTTTTACCTTATTTTTTCTATTGTCGTTGTATTTGATTAAGTCTAAAATGAATGTCAAAACCTCTTTCGGACACAAATTATGAACATCTCTTAGCAAAGCCATTGCAACAGGCATGGTCTGTGAAAAAGGATAAACATTAATGAGGAATTATTCTAATTTGAATAAACAAATAAATCATGCGAAAATCATTTCTGCATCCTCATAATACCCTTTGGTTTCCCAGAACAATGATTTTTTTTACTATAACTCCCAGAAACCGGTATGTGGCTATGCTGGCTGGGAATTCTGGGAGCCATAGTCTTAAAAAAACAAAAAACACTCAATAGCTGTAATTTACTAGTCTATTCTCTTTTTGGGAATTGACTGGTACCCTTTTAAATACTGGGATTGACATCAAGCATCCTAGATGGTTAAGATGCTATCTTAGTTGCCATCTCCACAGTGAATTGCAATTAATCCATGAAATTACAGTGGTGCCTCGCAAGACAATTGCTTCGCATGACGATGAATTTCCTTTACGATGACGTTTTCGGAGCGATCTTGCGCTTCGTTTAATGATGCTTCCTATGGGCGATTTTCGCTTTACGATGTTAAGGACCTTGCCTCGCAAGACGGTTAAGTTTTAGGTCCCTGTTTTTCGCTTTACAATGTTTTTGACAGCTTGGGCTTGCTTCGCTATACGAGTCTTTTAATGGTATCTGTTTCGTTACACTGCTGTCTTCGCTTGGGAACCGCGCTTTGCTTAACGATGTTTCCTATGGCAATTTTCGCTTTGTGATGACAATCTGTTCCCATTGGAACGGATTATCAGGTTTTCAATGCATTTCAATGGGAAAACGTGTTTCGCAAGACGATGTTTACGCTTAACAGTGATTTTTGCGGAATGAATTAACATCGTCTTGCGAGGCACCACTGTAAATGCACAGCATGAAGTTAGACTTCTTTTCAGTTCTGAACCTAGCATTCCCTTATTTCACTTGATCTAAACTGGGTGCTCTTTTTGCCACTGAAAGCTTCAGATCAACAGTATATCTACCATATAGTGGCAGATGGGATTTTGCCTCCCCTTTCCCTCATTTCAGCTTGTGAGGATTAGGAGATTTAAATTTCCCCTTCTAGATTGTCAAGATGGCACACCTCCCTTCCATTCCCACTCCCACAATGGCAACTGTTGAGAAATGCACACTTTCAGTGCTCGCAACACAGATCAGCTGGGCAGCACAAAGCAGGAGACAATAACTCCCATAGGATTGACACATATTCGCCAAAAGCCATACATGGGTCACAGTTTGCCCATATGCGCATTAATGACTATGTGTGGAATTATTTTGACAGAGAGAGAAATATTAAATGCCCCTCTCATTGTTTGTGCATGTGATTATATAAATCTTCCAGTGTGTCCCTCCTGCTTAGCTCTGTTATTTGTTCTTAATAAATAATCCTGACATTCTCAAGTGTTTCTTTTCAGGTAAAAATGCTTCTGACCCTGATTCCCACTTTGCGTATTTCAAGTATGGGCAACACATTGATTTCTCTCTCTTCAGAATGGTGCTGCCATTTTCCTGGCAACCGTATCCAACACCTACAAGATTTGGAGTTTTTCATTCATTATTCTAGCCCTTAAATCTGTCTCTGCTATGCAAACACATCATGTCCAGAGCTGTACAATCAGTTGTAGGTTTACCTTCTGCAGAAAGTAGCTCTGAAAATTCATGAAGTTATTGGTTTTCACAATGTTTGGACAACTTTTACAACAGAACATTCGGGTGAAGAGAGACTTCATGGCCGGTGGTCCTGTCCATGTACTCACCATAAAATTTGCAATCTATATAATTAGGGAGGGAAATAAAAGCCATGTTACTAACAAAGAAAAGTTTGGCCTGCTGCCCTTACCAAACACCATTTAATTATATTTCCAAAACCACTCTGTGCTGGATGAGAGTGAACAAGATCTGTTACTATGTAAAGGATAGACACTTTAAAGCAGTATTTTTCCAACCATCCTATGCTTAGGTTGCATGTGAAAGATCATTTATCATTCTGTCATGGAATTGCTTTGCAACATATCCTGGGACATGAAATAAATATGTGTGGGCATCTAATTGTACTTTTATGCCCTAGAGTATACCCTACAACCTCTATTCAATTGTGAACGGCCAGGAAACATCAGTAACCAGAGACAACAATTATCAAGCAGCCTCATTATTATCTTCTCACTAGGGAATTTAGAATAAGTTTGCAAGGAACCCCTAGAGATCTAAACACAGTATAAAAACCAAAGCTATAAATGAATGCACCACCTAAAGTCAGAGGCTTCTTCCAACCATAGGTTCTATAAATGGGAACTACAGTACATGGAAACAGTTTTAACTTACAGGTCATCTGCAACTAATTATCTTCCCACAATCAATAGCACGTTCTAATTGTCTTCCTCCTATTTGCAATTTTTTCCCAGTTGTTTTAGTCACATAATCTATCTCTACAGAAGCCAGCAATGGGAGAGGCATCAACATTACTGATTTCCTCAATTTACCCTGCCAATAACCCAGTGCAGACTTCAAGCCACCCTGAGAGTACAAGACCACCCGAAGAGGAACAGATAACTCAGAATCTTGTCTACTTTTACACATCCAAAGAGCAGACAGAGCAGTGAAGCAGTTTAAGGTCCAACATGCTGAGACAAAACTTGCCCAACATCCTGAATTAAAAGGCCTCAGCATTTATTGTATCTGTCAACACAGTAGGTAAAGAATTGACAGGACTGTTTTTTTAATGAAGACCTCACAGAAAGATGCAGAAACAGGTATTCTCTTTTTACTTTACTAAAATCTGTGATTAACCATTCATTTTTCCAGGTATCCCAAAGAACTACATAGTAAGACAGAGAATGAATGTTTGCTTGCCTATGTACACATGAGAGCATATGGCTTAAGTGATCGTACATGTGTCTGCTTGCAAACACAGCTGGAAGTTGCAAAGCAATCACATTTAATGGAAGCTATTCCAAAAGAACTGATTTTAAAACACTGTCAAAATTGCTCTGCATATTATTAAACTATACTGCCCATAGTTTCAGTATGAACTCATTCCAAAAACAGTTGAGCTCCAGGTGACAAATTTATTTTTGGAAGTAAGGCTGAATCATCAAGAAAATCCCTCTACTCCCAACCTTCAACCGAAGTTCGCTATAAACAAAAGTACCACTTGAAATATACTTGTAAATGAAGTGCAACGAACCATCAACTTCTCCAGGTTTTTCAAAAGTCTATTTAAAAAAATATATAAAGTATTATACTTTAAGTGCATAATTAACTGTAAAAAAAACAGTAAAAAAGAGCAGGATGTGAAAAAAAATTGAACAAAATTCTGCTGCGTAATTACATCAAAGGAAAGGCAATGATATAATTCACTGCAGCAAATTGCTCCTAGTTAATACATCCCTACTTAAATGCTTTATGGTGCACACTGAAGTAGCTTCCTGGTTGGATGCAACCAGGAATCCAATCAGAGACTTGCTAATTAGCAGCTATTTGTTGCTGTGAGTTACACAACTGCCCTTCCACCAGTGTAAATATACAACATGATTTCAGTCACTGAAAGTCAACAGAAAGTCCTTTTGTTACAGAACAATAGTTACTATATTTCTCACACAGTTCAGAAGCACTGACGAGCAAATAGTGCTAATTAGTGGCATAGGCCTTTCAGTAAAAGCTACAAACAGGAGGTCACCAACTGGAAGCCCCAGCTCTAAAGCCAACCTTGAGAGTTCCTGCAGATTCCTTCTTCCTCCCAGTCACTCAGACTCCTGAATTCTACCTGTGTACTAATCAGGTGCAAATGTATGTCAGAAGGACTCATCCGTAGTCCTTATGAAGGGGGATTTTATTCATGAGTTTGTGTCCTGCTATCACACCAGTCTGTCAAAGTAGCTAACAAATATACAGCAACAGAATAATAAAACCACACAAAATACAGTAGCCGAAACCAATGGACAGCCAGCCACAAACATTAATTTTTATTAAAAATGGAAGAACAAGCAGCGTAAAAGTAGAACTCCTATGCAAAGACTGCTCAGGAGAGATTCTCTCTGTTCAGGTGCCAACACTGAGTAGACCTTGTGGCTTGTTACCTGCCTAACCTCAGAAGTGGTGAGGGAAGGAACCAGAGACAGGCTTCCAAGGAAGGTTTATTTGGAATAAAGGGACTGAGAAGCAAAATGCTGGCTGGGCCTACTTCAGTTATTTCCTGAGCAATGTTCTTGGTGGTTTATAAAATCCTGAGTATGTCCTTATAATTAAAAAGGTCCAGTAAGCACAGGAAGAGAAGCCAAGCACTACTGATTTGTTAGATACAGGCTGCAGAGATGTGGGTTCAAATCTAGACTCACCCATAAAGTTTTCTGGGTAGTCTTGTGATGATCCCTATCTTCCAATCCATTTCCCCTCATAGAGTTATTAAGAGTATAAAATTAGGAACGGGTTAAGTCCTGTATGCTAGCCTGAGCTTCATGGAGAGCAGGATATGAAAAAAAAAACAATTCAATCATTCCTACACAAAACCCTCAAAGTACATATATATTCCTTGTTTTTATATTTGTTTTGATTCGTGATTAAGGTTGACAAATCATGAATTATTTTTTTTTTTACAAACTGACTTGTCAATTCATTTTTTACTTCAAAGCCCTACAAAACGCCTCCCCCCACCTGGGGAAAGTGCTCTTTAGCAGCAGGATTGGGGAAAGGCCATACTTGGAGGAACTGTAGAGGAGAGTCAGTAAAAGCTTCTATGATTCTGGTGTCTCTAGGTGCCTTTTGGGGCGGCCCTGTTTGTTGGTGTGTAACTCGGATGTCTGAAACCCAATCTTTACTGAATCTGGAGGGACTGTAAAGAAGAGTCAAGGGAAGCCTCCCTGTAAATTTGGTGTCTCTAAGTGCCGGGGGTGGGGGTGGGGTGGCGTTTTATAGCCAAACAAATAAAAAATCACTAAAAATTCATTGATTCATATTCATTGGGGGCATTGTTTCATACAAATAGAAATAGATGAATTAGTACGTTTTTGAACAAATTTGGTGATTCATTTTTTAATTCATGCCCATCTCTAATTGTTATATTTATATCCCGCTAGTCCTTAAATGAGCTTATAAGCAGAGAGGACACATTTTGTTCCTTAAACCAGTGGTCCCCAACCTTGGTCTTCCAGATGTTCTCGGACTACAACTCCCAGAAGCCTTCACCACCACCTCTGTTGGCCAGTATTTCTGGGAGTTGAAGTCCAAGAACATCTGGAGGCCCAAGGTTGGGGACCACTGCCTTAAACCACTAATCATGGTTCTTCTCCTCCATACTTTATCCTATGTCTCAGGTCATGCTGAGTGTGACTGGCCCGTTTGTGAGCTTGGAGAATCTGGATTTTACAAAGTTCCAGTGAAATAACAACTGCACTACATTGTCTCTCAGCCAAAGTAAATTTAGCTCTCTGTATAATAACTTATCTTATAGTTTTTTAAATGTTTTTAATTGTTTTTATATCTGATATTTTAACTTAATGCATATTTAGTCCTTTTTAAATTGTGATACCGTGTTTTCCTGAAAATAAGACAGGGTCTTATATTAATTTTTGCTCCAAAAAACGCACTAGGGTTAATTTACAGTCATGTGATCTTCTGGTTGCTGCACAAGGGTGGAGGGCAGGGTTTCACTTAAGTGGGGCTTATTTTTGGGGTAGGGCTTATATTACAAGCATCCTGAAAAATCATACTAGGGCTTATTTTCAGGATAGGTCTTCTTTTTGGGGAAACATGGTATTTATATAGTGTTTTCTTATTTTAGTTCATGTGAACTGCCTTGGGTTCCCTATGGGGAGAAAGGGGGCATATAAAAAACATAAACAAATAAGTAACAATAAATAGTTAAATAAAAAATCTACAGTGATATAGTATGCTGCTCTGATATGAACCAAAGATAGTTAGTTATAACCTCAGAGTGAAAATTCCATCACTTTCTCAGATTTTCAAGGTATATTAAAACATCCTAGCAAAATGGCATACATTTCTTGATCTGTTAAAATGTTTTTTTAAACAAAACAAAACCTTGTTTAGTTTAAGGATTTAAGAAAAAGAAAGGAATTGGTTAGGCCTCATATAGACTACTGTGTCCATTTCTGGACACCACACTTTAAGAAGATTGCCAACAAACTGGAGCAAGTTCAAAGGAGGCCAAGATCAGGGGACTGGAAACTAAACCCTTAGAGGAACGACTGAAAGAACTGGGTATGTTTGGCCTTGAGAAAAGAAGACTAAGGGGCAGATAGGAAAGCACTTTTCAAATACTTGAAAGACAGTCATACAGAAGAGGGGCAGAATCTGTTCTCAATCATCTCAGAGTGCAGGACATGTAATAATGAGCTTAAGTTACAGGAAGCCAGATTTAAGCTGCAAATCAGGAGAAATTTCATAACTGTTTGAGCAGTATGACAATGAAACCAATTATCTCAGGAGGTGGTGAGCACTCCAACACTGGAGGTGTACAAGAGAAAATTGGACACCCATCTCTCAGATCTTTGACTTGGATTCCTGCACTGAGCTGGGGGTTGAACTCTATGGCTTTGCAGGCCCCTTCCAAATCCATTATTCTGTGATTCTATGATTGTTTGAACTGCCTTGACATATTTGTTTTCCAATTATTATGAAAGGCTTGTCTAGTTTCCTGTAACTGACAAACATACCTTTTTAAAAAGTTCAATAGAGAATATTAAATGTATTGACTTCTCAATTAAAAACAAACCTCTTATTGGTAATTTAGTCTTCTTTTCACACCAGGCATTTAGAAGCCTTTGGTATACAGTGGTGCCTCGCTTAGCGACGTTAATCCATTCCAGGAAAAACACTGCTAAGCGATTTAATCGCTAAGCGATTTTAAAAAGCCCATAGAAACGCATTAAAACGTGTTTAATGCATTCCTATGGGCTTAAAAACTGACCTTATGCGAAGATCCTCCATAGAGGTAGCCATTTTCGGTGCCTCTAAAGCAAGGCAAAACAGCGGGCGGCCATTCTGTGTTTCCGGCAGCCATTTTGGAACCGCCGATCAGCTGTGCAAAAAGGGTCGCTTTGCCATGATCGCTTCCCTGCGATCATCGCAAAGCGATTTTCCTCATAGGGCCATCGCTAAGCAATCGCTCTGGCGATGGCCAAAACCCCATCACTAAGCGATTTCATCGCTCAACGGAGCGATCGCTAAGCGAGGCACCACTGTATTTGGTAGGTACTTAGAAGCATTTGGTAGGTATTTCCATCCAGCTGAATACCGAGCCAGTTTAAGAGACAGGGCTAAACTCTCACTCAATTGCTAATATGTGAAAATACTTATGAGTCCAAGGCTATAGCGTGGTAATCAGAGAATGTGTATTCTGTTCCTTAAATCACTGATTGTTAGAGATAAATGGACATAACCTGGAGAACTACTTTAGGAATGCTGAAGAACTGGCACAGCCTCCAGGATGACTTTTTTTCTTGGAATAGCAGACAAGTCTTAAATCTACTTGTGAAAAGTATGTAAGCCTACAAATTTCTTTTCTGTGTGATGGGTGCATACATTAAGAGGGAAGACTGACTGTTATCTGAAAAATGCAAATCTAAAGCAGTGGTGGCTCATCCAGTAGGAGAAGTGGAAAGCTGCTCCATGGAAAGTTCCCAGCCATCTCACTCCAGAGGCAGAGGGCTTCTCTGAGTGAACTGATTACTTACTTCTGTGTGTAAATCTCTCTATGTGAGTAAGTGGAAGAGGAGAGGGGGGTGAATACTCACTCTGGCCCTTTAATGGATTCAAGAGACCTGAAGGGTTGGAAGCACTAGAAACAAGTCTGGAAATATCATACCATCCAGTTTGTTAAATCATGTATCAAATAATATAAATTACAATAAAAAAGAGACTGGAAACAAAATTCACTTTTCTAGACTGAGAAGCTATTAGCCACCTGCTCCTGTCTTAATTGTTCCCCCTTCACCGACTATGAACATTAAACTACACAGGGCTGACTATGTTCAAGTTGACAACTCATGTGCTGGTCAAATCCTTGGTAAGTTACCGGGCAAAGTACAGAATACCACAATGTCAAAAAAACAAGGCAGGAATTACTGTAGTTTTTTATGATGCCCCAAACACCCCCAGATTTGGCACAGATCAAGGGCAGACTCTATGCTACATCTATGCCAAATCTGGTGCTGATCCAATATTCAGTTTCAAAGTTATAATTTTTTTGATTAAGGCACCTCTATTTTTAACTTGCTTTATGGAATGCTGAATTGGGCTGTTGCACAATATTTATTGCTGCACTCATGTGCAACAGTAATATAGGGAACCTGAGAGTCCTGAGCTATTTTGAAACATTTTCCCAGAGACAATCTCTAGTTTTCAAGCAACTGAAGTGAGGAGATGGAAAGGTGTATCTTCTTTAGTTCCTCAGACTCAGATTCTGGAGGAGCAACTCAATTCTAAACTTCACAATCTGCTTTTGTTAAGATTTCTATGATCTGTGGCAACCTTGGACAGAACTCTCTCACAAACTGCTCACCTTTGCAAGACAAAAGCATGCCATTATCCTCACTCGGTAGAAACACTGCTCCTGTTCAAGGATATCAGTCAGTGCAAGCCGCGACGCTGGAGTGGGGAACTTCTGGAGGGCCAAAATGGATTCCTCCTGCGCAACCACATCTCTCTCATACCGAAGCTGATACTGCCACATGAAGTCAGCCTGCTCAAACTCTACCTTCCTTAACACGGACATATCCGGATCTATTCTTATCCAGAGCAAGGGGGAATCAGCACTAGAAGAGATGACCAAAATTTGTTCTACGGTTTAAAGTACAACGGATGTGTACATTATAACATTTTAACATGAGGTCTGCAAAATATGATTTCCTAAAAATGAAGTTGTGTCTTGTTTTCTTCTTGCTTTTCAAGACCAAGAGTTAACAGTTCATTGGTTTTGAATATAGTGTCCCTGGTAACACAACCTGAAATATCATGCAGCTGCTGACAAATTAGCAGTAAAAATTGGGATGTGTAACTTGAGGATGGTTTTTATCAACTTCCAAACGGAAGGCATTTCTGGGTAAATAAAAATGCAACTTCTATGCCTGTAACTAATATTAAATGTGTGGCCATAAACAATGATGCATTGCTTCCCTTTCTACATCTTTTTTCCATTTCTCCCATTTTCTCTGTGTCAAATTTTAGACTATTAGCTTCTTGGTGTCAGGATCTGTCCTCTTGTACTTCATAAAGCATTATGAACAGCACTACTGTATAGGTTCTCCACTGGTTTAGTTCAGATAAAACATCGCAATCATAATTTGGCCATTGGGAGCATTCCCACAGATTCACATACTGCCTTCACTTTTCTTTCGTACAGCTGTTCTCCACTTTGATTTTGACTAAACTCAGTTTGCCATGACACCCAAAATGTCAAGCTATAGGCCATGTCTTGTTTCTAAACCATGATTTGCAAACTCATTTCAAGTTGCCCTTTAGAGTCTGGTGCCACCATTATTTACTCGTTCTAGCACAGGGGCAAAATAGCGATAACATAAAAAATAACAAGGGGAGCCAAAAGAGCACAAGCTCTTGGAACGCTCCTGGATGAGCATCAGCTCTGAACCGAGTCCATGTACATCTATTTCTGGGGAGCCTTTCAGCATATGTGCACCGCGTGTTATCTACAGTTATAATGCATGATGACCTTAGAGGGGATTCCTGTTCTCACTGCATAGAAGGGCTTCAGAGTATGAATTCTGTCATGTGTGAAAACTGGTGAGTTAGCCCAGTTCATGTGAATAGTTTGGCCTCTCTCCTCCTTCAAGCAAAAAGGAATGTTGGATCAGCCATCTAATGTTTTATGTTCCCCTGCTCCTCTTCCTTTACAAAAAGGGATGGCTTAGGCTTTGTTATACAGTTCCATAGCTGCATCATGGACTTTATTCCCAGAGGCCACCATCCAGCATTATCCCTTTTGCTTTCAAATATCAACTTACTCCATGGCGGAAAGATCCATGTCTACCTCCTCTCCATTCATTAGTGGAATCTTTTTCTTCTTATTTCTGCATTTTTAAAAAGGTAGATGGATATATTAAAATCATTTCCTCTTTCTTTCATTCTCTAAACAGAACTTAAATAATGCTAAATAAATGCATGCCAAAAGGTGCCCCGGGTGAGTAAATGAGAATTCATTGAATCCCTGTGGCCTGATCCTTCCACTCCAGAAACTCCACTAGACGTCTTTTCAGGAACAAAGACGCTCAGAGCAGATCTTCCCAAATATTCTTCTCACCCTCATTTCAGAGGTACAATCTCTTCTTGAGCCTCATACTTTCTAATCCTAATGATGGGACTCCCATTGGATACATCCTATCTTGTTCTCTTGTTTCATCAGGCCATGGCCTCAATCATCATGGTGGTTAAACGACAAAGCCAAGAGACAAAACCTTAACGCACCTTTTCCCTGAAGTGGGAATTCAGGTCCATATTAAGGCCTACAACTTCCTGGAAAAATATCTTTTAACAACTAAGATTCTGTATTACAATGGGTAAACGGCTACACTACTACTCATGCCCAACCTGCTGAATTAAGAGTATGAAGCCTCAAATCAAGGTGGAGGAATCAAAGAATCACAGCATTATAAAATTGGATGGCACCACAAAGGTCATCTAGTCCAGGCCCTTTAATCCTGCACTATTCTTTATAAGGAGAACAGCACTAGCCTTGGCTGGAGCTAGTGTGTGGATGTCTCACATGCAACTTAGGGCTTCTCATGTAACATGGGAAGATGTAGCACTGCAGCAAGCTGAATGCCACTGACATGAGTCTGAGACCAGAAAAAGCAAAAATAAGAGTGGATAGTAATTTCAGGTATATGTTTCACAGAGCATACTACATAAATGGTAAAAGCCTACCGTCTGCTCTTTGAGTGACACGGTATGTCATGTTTAAGGCTATTTTCTTCTATCTGAAGTGTGTGGTTGAAAGATCCATCGAGCTCCTGCACCGTCACTTTGAGGGGCCCCTCAGAAAAGATGAGACAAGAAGCATTTAAAAATACTTGCAGTAGAAATGATTTAATGTAATGGCAAGCAAGGCATGACTGCATGTATTTTGTACTTCTCTCCCTATCTTGTCTCAGAATGATCTTCTTGCAACAAAGGCTACGCAGAGCAAGTGGCTTATCCACCAATGAAATTCACAAGCAAGCAGAGAGGCTTCAATCTGGGAATTCCATGTCTAAATACAATATTTTACCACCAATGAAATTCACAAGCAAGCAGAGAATTCCATGTCTAAACACAATATTTTGGCAAAACACTAATCACACATGTTGGCTAAGCTGTGTGTGATATCTTGGATATAATCCGGTTGTTGTTATGTGCTGTAAAGTTGCCTCTGACTTATGGTAATCCAATGAATCAGCAATCTCCAAAATGTACTGTTGTTAACAGCCCTGCTCAATTCTGATAAACTGTAGCTTCCTTTAGGGAGGTCAATCCATCTTGTGTTTGGGCTTCCTCTTTTCCTGCTGCCTTCCATCTTTCCCAGATTGTCGTTTACAGAGAATTCTGCCTCCACATAGTTTGCCCAAAGTTGGACAGCCTCAGTTTCAGCATTTTTGCCTCCAGAAATAGTTGAGGCTTGATATGATCTAGGATCCACTTATTCTACTATCTCATTATTTTGCATCTAGAAATAGAGATGTCTAGCTCCTATTAATAGTTTTGTGATCCAAAGTCGAAACAGGATCCCTATTCAGACATTTGCAAATGTGTGTGGTTTTGGCTAATGTGAAAAGGCTACCGTGACAGAATAGCCTCCTCCCTCCTCTTCAGACTGTTCCATTACTGTAAATTAAGTATGAAAGGGTGAGTCATGGCCAGTGCTCTCCCTTCATTGCACGTGGATCCCATCTGCTTTAAGCACACCTGAACTGGGCTAAGGAAGTGATGAGTTAAACTCTACATTCATCTATAAATAGGTTGAAGCTTAAACAGCAAAGGATTAAGAGAGAAAAAAATCAACTGTGATCAAGTTTCCACACACCCCTTTCCGCCACTGGACCCTTAAATCATCTCTAGGAGATCTCCAGTATCACAAAAGTTCTGGGAGGCAGAAGGAAGTGCAGGAGGGAAGAGAAATCCATTCTAGTGCCAGATACTATACTGCTAGTTGACAGATAAGATTGTATACAACTTTATAATTCACATGAATCAATGTATCATTTCATGTTAATGAATTAAAAAATACCTAAAATGTTATTCACATGCGATGAGGTGTTTAAAGTAACTATGGTAAATACCTAAAATGTTATTCACATGCGATGTGTTTAAAGTAACTATGAGACGCTAACTGCCATCTACCAGATATAGCTGAGACTAGCAAACAAGATGTTTGCCTGATTTAATGGCAGTAACATTGTAAATATGTAGTAACAAACAGATTTCATTAACAAGAGTTGAATACTGAACTTACCACATATTTCTGGGTCCCAGGAGATGTGTAGTCTTGTTTTATTTCCAATTCTAGTACGTTCCGTTTTCTATTAAATGCAAAACTACCATAGAATTTTACCACGCCACTCTGATCTCTGACAAACTGAATAGGACAATAACGGTTATGTGATCCATGCATATATTACCTCCACCCCTTGAATACTGAGAGTTTTAAGAACATGCATCTATTAGCAAGACTTTCTGACTTTAAGCTGTGAAGAAACATTCCTGGTAAACTGGGCCTTGAACTGACAACTGGGTATGTAAGGTAAAGGTAAAGCTTCCCCTTGACAATTTGTCCAGTTGTGTCCGACTCTAGGGGGTGGTGCTCATCTCCGTTTCCACGCCATAGAGCCAGCATTTGTCTGAAGACAATCTTCCGTGGTCATGTGGCCAGCGCGACTAGACACGGAATGCTGTGGTGGTACCTATTTATCTACTCACATTTTGTATTTTGCATGTTTTCGAGCCGCTAGATTGGGGGGAGCTGGGACAAGTGACGGGGGCTCACTCGATTGCATGGATTCGATCTTACAATTGCAGGTCTTCTGACCTTGCAGCACAGAGGCTTTTGTGGTTTAACCCACAGCGCCACCACGTCCCATTTATAGCGTTCCTATAATTTTAAAAATGTTGTAAGCTTCGATAATAATGGATGCATTCAGTTTCTACATTCAAATTCCCCCCTCCCTACCATTGTTGACACTTACTGTGAAGTAACAGAGGACACTTCCAGTATCCCAGCTCTCTGTCCATGCTTGAAGCCCTGATCACAAGAATCCTAAGTGGTCTCTTCGCTATTTAATAACCTGCATGTGCAGATGAACTTTCATATCAATTCACATACAATGTTTTCCAAATGGGATACATTTATAAAGTCGCCCATAAATTACCATATGCTGAGTAATTAAAGGAGGAAAAAAAGTGACTGGCAAATGTGTGGTACTGGTTCTGGAGGTTCCTCCTCAGACTTTCACAGTATGGTGCAGAAATGCCAGTTTTCTTAAGATATAATAACAATTCTGCATATTGGGAAAAAATGCTCTAACACAAAACAAGAGGAGAAAATTAAGTACCGTAGTTCCCTATTCTACAGAAACATTAACACAAAACAAGAGGAGAAAATTAAGTAGCTCCCTATTCTACAGAAACAGAGTGGTTTTGCTAAAACTTAAATATTTCACTTCCCTTGACTGCCCTATTAGGGTTGCTATTAGAGATGGGGGTATTCGTATAAGAATACCCCCCACATAAGTGGCGATGATGAAGGTCCAGACCTGGACGGTCCACTCACAATTCTGCCGTTGCTGCAACCTCACCAATCCTTCCAATGGCTCCGGAGATCACGATCTGTGAGCCACTCTTCAACCTGGCAGAGAGGCTTGTCGTCCCACCTACTCCCAGGAGTGGCAAGCCGACTGTGATCTCTGGATCCATTGGAAGGATCATGGAGGTCGCGGCATCAAGTGGAATTGTGAACAGACTGTCCCACCTGCACGGGGTTATTCCTATACCAATACCCCCATCTCTAGTTGCTATAAGTCAGTTCCAACTTGACAGCACAGAACACACACATACTTCATTTAATACTTCCTTGATACTTTATGTCTTGGTTTATTAATAAACTTGGTTTATTAATCAATTATTAATCAATTCCGAAGTATATGTACCTTTTTAAAAAATGTACGGATCTCTACTATTAAACATGTGTGCATATTTATGATAGAAGGCCCTTTTCAGAGCTCCTCTATCCATCACATAGAAAATAATTATTTAGCACAAACTCTTCTTGCTTAGAATCTCCTCCTGTATATGAAATTCATCATGCGGAAATACTAAATGTTTTTATTTGTGTGAACTTTATTTTGTCTCTAAACTATGGTAAACTGCACTGCTACACAGCACCAGTCAGCTTTGTAACTGCCAATGAATTCTGCATCAGCAACTCTCTGCTGTTAGAATGACTGAAATTACTAGTGTTCACATCTTTTGCTGGCACAGTGCTACAGTGACATTTTTGGAATTCACATCTGAAAATATGAAAGACCCAAAGCATTTCCAAATAATATTTCACATGAAATACTTGTGTTTCTGAAAATCACCTGGATTCCTACTGTGTTAGTTGGCTTTGAATTGAGACAGAATCCTAGTATTTTTTTCAGAGGGAGCACATTACTACAAAATGTTTCCCCTACAACATAATATTTAAAAAATATACAAATCAAGGCAGAGCAACCTGAATTGCTATACATCCTTTAAAAAGAATACCAGCCTTTTTAGTAAATTTTAAAATACCAATGTCTGCAACTCTTTGATGAAGTAAAAATTGATTGTCATGACCCAGTGCATTCATTAGAAGAACCAAAGGACAGATTCTCCTCAACGTCGTGTTTATTAGCCTGAGGCTAGAATCAAAAAGGATACACCCATTGCTTTATTAAGGGCTGGATGTCTTTGCCAGACACATTGGAGATGGACTTCAAAAACCCAGATGTGGAAACCAACATCTGACTCCACATATGAGACTGGAATTTCTGGGATGAAGCCGTGCTGGCCAGACTCAGTAGCTTGTTGAAAACCTACAACCGAATTTTTCAGACCATTATTCAAGCCAGGGAAGATAATCTCAAATTATTTGAAACATCAACAGCAATAACATCACATTATGCCTATGGTTCATTTCCTGTCGGACACAAAGACGATTCTGATATTCAAACTGCAGCCAGGACAGAGGGTGTGAGGAAGATAAAAGAGAACAATATCTGAAACCACATTGCTTGTGAACAACCTGGCTGTTACATCCATTGAACACAGAACAGAAGTGGGGCCTTTCTGGAACAAGCAGAGCAGCTGAACATTCTTGTCCCCCACCAACAGCCAACCAGAGAAGCTCATCTTTGGAAAGTCAAAGAATTAAAGAACTGCCAAAGAGCTTAGTATTATGGGAATCTGGTACAGAATCTAGACTAGATTGATCACTGGTCTGATACAACATAGCTCTTTTTATGTCCATGTGGCATTCTTATAATATGCATAAGGAAAGAATGCTACTAAGAGATTCAAGTTTATTTAACCTGTTTCCAGTGAAAAATACTGGAAACTGACTGAATCATTTGGGTTGATGGTAAATGACATACTTTTTGCAAGTTATGGCCGGATCCCATGGAATACAATCCAAAACCCAAAGAGGAAACCTCATTTTCCGGGCGTGGTTATAAATCAGCCTTAACCTCATGGGCTGCTTATGCAAGCAGCCAACCACACCGATAGGTGCCCATGCAGTGTGCACTCCAGAGAATGGTGCTGGCAACATATTGTGGTTACACTATGAAAGTTAAGGAGGTCTAGGCCTGGCTTGCGACACCACCTGACAGTTTGACCTACGATGCATGGAGGGGAGCTAAGAATACAGCAAGTAAGGAAATGTTAGTTGTTTGAGCAACTGTATATGTAGCTTTGACTGTCTTAGCCGTGGTTAATAAATTAGGAGCATCACACACTCTCATCCTTCTCTCTTGAATTAAAATATCAGTGAATCTAAATATGCTGAGTCAGAGGTAAGCCTCACTGGAGTCTCATGTAACCTTCTTCCAGTTTAAGTGCATAATGGCTGGTAATTTAATGGGTATCTCAGCTAACATCATCTATGGTTGAAGGCTAGAATAGCCTCCCTCTCCACCAGGGTCTGTCGGCTACCTTCAAACTTTGGGTAAAAAACCCAATTCAGCATGTAGACCTTAACTGCAATTAATGCTAGCGTCCACAGGGAGTTCACAATATGAGAATTCACCCCTCATCTCTGAACAAGCTATGAGAGGTCTGATGCCCTACCTGTCCCAGCCATTTGTATAAAAGAGAAATAAGATCAACAGTGACAAAACTGTCAGAATTAATGGACTTCCAGTCCCATACCTTGGTGGGAACCATTAGAAAACTGTTAGAAAAGTGCCCTGCTGTACCAAGGGAGTTACAGAGATTCCCTGCAACTCACAAACCTGCACAGGGGAAGGCGCTACAACGAAGACTGCCTCCATGCACTCTTTATGTATATTGGAACTCATTTGTGAGTCCCAGGGAATCCTCACAACCCCTGCAGGGCAGGAGGGCACTTTTCTACCAGTTTGAAGAAGTGGCAGGGGAATGCCATGGGGGTAAGAGAGCTGCTCTGCCTCCTGCCAGTTTGAAGGTTCCCAGTTCCACAATTCAACCTGGGAGGTTCCCAGCAAATTATGGCATTGGCAGTTCTTTAATTCTAAATATCCCATCCTTAAAGCTCTATTCATAGTAAATAGACACTCTAGTTAGTAGGTAGACTTTATATGCAAACCACTTACCTAAATTCAGGGTTTTTTAAAAAAAATCACTGTAGTAATATGAGTATTTTGAAAGACTAGTTTTAAAAGTAAACAGTAAATGCATTCTAGGTCATGATCTCAACACTTACTTGTAACATGAACTCCATACTTATTCTGTTTTCTATCAGCCTCATGACTAGGTGGGCTTTGCACTGGAACATTTTGTAGTATTCCCATGACAACGTGTGAGGATGTTTTATGGAAAAATGCAGATATGATGCAGGACTGGAAAATTAAATCAAGACCATTTCAGGAATCTCTTATTTAGCATTTTTTGAGAAAGCACCATTACAGTGAACAGCAGAGAATATAACAGAAAGATAAAAAGAAGAACTAGATGAGGGTCTACTAATGTAAGAGTTAACTAATCATAATCATACACAACATAACAAAAAGCATTCTGGTAATGTCCTTACAAATCCTGCTCAAATTATAAAAGCTTCTGAGGTAAACTTCAATATTAGTGAAGAAATAAATGGAATAGGCATTTCTCCTTCAACTTCTACTTGAAACTCGATGTCAACATAATTCCCTGTGCCATCTCTATGAACAGTTTAGCATATATAAAATCTCTATTCTTTTGTGCTTTGTTATCACACTGAGAAGAAAGGGAATGGCTCTCCTGTATTCCATTGCACTGCGTGTTTAGTGGACTACTGTAAAGAACAATTCCTTTGAAAAAGATATTACAGTACTAGAATCTTTCTGGTCAAGAAGACAAGAAGAGTTATTTTTAAGCATATTTTGGGAGCACCAAGGAGAAAGAGTGGGAATCCTACTATTGGTGTTCACACATGTGACCTGAATAGGAGAAATTCAAATTATCTATTGTTTCAAGCAGCAAACTAATGGTAAAAAAGTAAATGTTAAAAGTGGCTATATTTTTTAGACCAAAGGAGTTTCAGTAGCCTTTAGGGCTCAGTTAAAGCCAGTTGAACAAAACTATTCTAGCATACAGGAAATAACAGTAGATGATATAACATGATCAGGTAGTAAGGATACTAACAACACATGGCAACCACTACTACATGATGCTAGTTTATTGCCTATGTCACTATCAGCTTAAGGCTTAGCATGGGATGCACAATGCACAACCCTGGGCCATATGGCCCCCAAAGCTGGAGGGGCCCAACTTAATTTTCCCTGTTCAGCTGCACGGAAGGTCACTGTTCCTTGGTCTCTGTTAGTAGCTAACAGTGGTGAGGAAACCACTGTAAGTGTGATAAGAGATGGGCATGAACAGTCACTTTCGTGGTTTGTTTAGCCTCCAAACATTGGTTTGGTGCTTCAAAGCCCCGCCCTCTCTGACAGACACCTACTTAGAGGCAGTGTCTGGAAGGGGTGGGTCAGGGAAGCCAGGTCGCGACCTCCAAGTGGACACCTGCTGGAGGAGGTGGGGCTTTGAAGTGCCAAACACCTGTCCGTCCGTTAAACAAACTGGCACAAACTGCCAAGCTGGTGGTTTGTGCCCATCTCTAATAGTGACTTGGGGGGCAGAAGAGGCTTTTACCAGCATACACCCACCCACTACATTTCTGTAGCTAGGCAAGATAGGTTTAAAGTGCTCCATCCTTGAATACTGAGACATGGATGGGTACACCTGCAATCTTCTACACACACAGCTGGATACATACATGACACCCAGCAGTCCAGCTAACATGGCACGAACAGGAACACATCCCAAAGCTGTGCACCCTGACACATGACTTACTGTGTCAGAACCAGCTGATGAGCAACAAAGCTGCCTCCCTTCATGTGCTGATGCAGAGCGAGGCTCCACTGCAATATACTTTATTTTAAAAGTTGCATCGTTCAATGAAAGAAGATATGCACCACCCACTGAAAGAACTTTCATGTATGTGAAAAATCTACAGAATGTAGATTTTAAAAGTTATTTTCACCTCTCCTGTGAAACGGTGTTCTTTGCATAGCAGAGGTTTGTGGGCTGTTTTAACAGAAGCAACTATTGCAGATATTCCTTCAAACAATGCACTTCCATTTTGTAATTTAAACAAACAAAAACATACCAAGGATTTAATTTATTACAAAGCAGTGGCATTTAAGCCTTTGACACAAAGTCTCCTTCACACTCAAAGTATATATACATCAATAATGAGTCATTATTAATCTATTCATTGCCTAACAAAACATACTTGTCTTTTTCTTTTCCTCCACCAAAGATTGGATGCAGTAAGACGCCACCTGTCTTCAGTTCATATGCCACTATTTTGTCTAGCTCCTGAAATCCACACAAAATGTGTTATTATTGCAAATGTGTATTTAACTATGCAGAGAACACCAGCTATAGACAACACTGTAATTACATATGCCAGGAGGTACAAGAATTAAAAAATATGCTCCTTTGGATTCAGTGGTGTTTTTCTCACCCAGATATTCATTTCAAGGTTTGGATGATAACATGATTTCCCCCTTTCCCGTTCAAATACCTCAATTTCCCGTAACAATTATGCAGATATGGCAGTGGGATATAGAAGAAAGCAACTGCATGCCGCAATAGCTTTCAAACTGTATTTCAGAAAATCCTTCCTTTCTATCTATTGCTTAGTATTTTGTTCAGAAAAACAAGGTATGTATTTTTATGAGGGAACTGGATCACAAAGCTTTTTTGAATGCTGAAAGAACCACGGACAATGTTCCCACCCCATGTGCAACCAATTAAAGGGGGGAGACCGGACTACAGAAGGGATGAAGGGACAGAAAACTGAACAAATATAGTTTAAGACTTATACACTGATAGAATCTATAACACATTTAGATGGTCTGCACTAATAAAAAAATCATGCAGTTCATAGAAGGAAGTGTACATGGGCCTAACCCTTGCTGAGACAATAAAGCAATGAGGTGTGCTACTGTAGACTGCAGGTGGAAGTTTAAATGAGTGAAGGCTCCTGCAAGAATAAATATTGACTCCTTGCCAAAAACTAGCAAAGGGGAAATTGAAGCTAGAATCTCCTCCTTCCAGACTATTAATAAGTATACTTATCTTGCTGCAAGCAAAATCATACTTAGGAATTTCTCTTTGTGGTAGATCATCAATTCATATCTCAGAAAAAAACAACCAGGTTTAGGCCTTAAGTAGATTTTAAATAGCTACCACTGTAACATAAAGTTTTGCTTTGAAGGTACAACTAACTAGGTTATAAGGCAGGGGTGGGCAATTAATTTCTATAGGGGGGCCACATGAAAAATCTGAACTGCATTTGGGGGCCGAACCAACTTTACTTAAAAATAAAATGAAACAGTGATGTTATGATTGTTTTTATTTTAAACTTGTTAATCTTCACAAATACTAAAGAGGTTTTTTGCAGTGTGTTAAAGATAAGCAGCTGATCAACTTTAGACAAAAAGCTTGATGTTCAACTTGTTCAGTGAGAGAAATCCAGTCTGTCTTGGTCTTGAACACCGGACTGGAGTGTCGACCGGCAGGCCAGATAGGAGCAGCTCACGGGCTATATGTAGACCTTGGGCCGCACTTTGCCCAGGTCTGATGTAGAGGGACAGATGGCTATTTGTCCCACGCCAACACACACACACGCTTTGTCAGAGCTTATGGGTGTACTGATTGAGATTGCCTTCTACTCTTGAGGAAGGAGACTTTCAAAGGATAGACACAACAGAAAAACATGCCTATCCTCACAAAACACTTTATGTAGTGCTTTGGATGACTTGCCAAAGTCATCATTAGAAATGTCGTTAGAAGGAGGTCTGTTGAAATTAGTAGGGTGACTTCTGTGTGTGTGTGTGTGTGTGTGTGTGTGTGTGTGTGTGTGTGTGTGTGTGTGTGTGTGTGTGTGTGTGTGTGTGTTCAGAGGCTTCAGGGTTATGGGTAAGCTACAAAAATTGCTCGACTGTCCACCACTGGCTTACAAGAAAGCTCTAAAAACGGCAAAGATATATCCGGGCCTTGGGTGATTTCCTTCCTAACTATCATTGCTCTCTTTTGAATGAGTCAGGTGAACCAGCAGATTTATTCATTTGATCCTCTCGTGACTTAAATGTACATTGATGTTTTCAACAGGGTTATGGGTAAGCTACAAAAATTGCTCGACTGTCCACCACTGGCTTACAAGAAAGCTCTAAAAACGGCAAAGATATATCCGGGCCTTGGGTGATTTCCTTCCTAACTATCATTGCTCTCTTTTGAATGAGTCAGGTGAACCAGCAGATTTATTCATTTGATCCTCTCGTGACTTAAATGTACATTGATGTTTTCAAAACAGCTGTCAATCTCGGAGCCTTACCTCTTTGATCCAGTGCCGATATTCATTTACACCAAAGGTTTTTTTCATCCAAAGGCCGTAAATATAACCAGAGATTCCTTTCAACACCCATTCATCTGACCTATAAGGGGGGGAAAAGATACAGAAACACCATCTTTTAAGTGAGTAGTCTGGACTCAGAAAGAAAAAAAAATACTTTTACTTAATGCTTCCCCATTGCAAATATTTTCACAGCTGACACAGCCTTGGATGCTTCCCTATAAAAGATGATGAGCTGTGAACTAATGTGTGTGTCCTGGCAACATATGAGACTCATAAAAATCACAAAGCTACTGAAAAGCTGGAAAAACCACTTGCTGTGGTTCTTTTAAAGACAGACTAATTTTAAGGTGCATCTGATAAGTACCAGGTCGCGCCTATAAAAGCACATAAAATTGTTCGGCCAGGGTTCAAAGCATTTTGTAAAGCTCCTGACAGGCTTTTAAGTTCCCTGCTTCTTCCCCACTTCACCTTTAGCCCATGAAAGCAGCACCCCATAAAGAGTAAGACGCTGCTTCAAAAGGACGGGAAACCTATCCACCTTATTTCTTCCTGGTACATGAGCCTCTTGAATCCTGAATTTAGACGTCCAAGTGTCCCATCAGTTTTTGTTACAAAATACCAGCACACAAATGGTATGAAGTACCAAAGTCCACCACAGGCTAAAGAAATACACTGCAGAGTCCTTGCCATGATTTTAGTTACTTGAATGATGTATCTAAAGCTAGGAACTGTCAAATGTTTTATGAGTGCTTTAAAGGCCACAATACTGATCTGCATTAAATTGAGTGATTTCATAGACAACATGGCATCAATACTCTCTATATTTTAAAAGAAACTTACCAAGACATTCTAGATATAAAACAGCCAAAGAACTGCTGAGCTAGAGCTTGTGCCAAGCACCTCCTAGTCAATGGGGTCTCATCTATTATCATCGCGCTGTGCAAAAGGTTTGTGCTGAAATGAAAACACAACAAGCAAACAGACTAGGATGAAAGACAAAATCTTCAAGATAACAAGAGATTCCCCCTAATCCTTTTTAAAAAGAAGAAAAAATATTTGTATTACTATGATTTTGGGAAGGCAAAACGAATACCAAACACCTGACCCCACCCAAAACCCCCCACCAAATATTAATAATCTTAAATATTCATTACTGTATCCTCCGTGTCCATGAAATGTAGCCCTCCAGGACTGTAGCTGCCATCAGCGTTACAGACAACAGTCCTTAATCCTAGGAACTGCAGTTTGACAACATCCGGGGACCACATTTTGCAAGTGCTGGCCTCGATATAAAAAAACCCTGAAGCCTAAAACTAACAGTTAAAAACTGCCAGAACAATCCTTAGTACATAATGCTGGCTTCTGGGGCAGAACATAGATCAAAAACAGGTATGTTTTTCTATCCACAGCAATGCACTTCAATGCAGACCAAAACCTGCTCTAGAGACCTGGAAGATCCTATAGAGCCATTTTGGTGCATCTCCAAGGACTGAAGCACAGGGGAGAAGAGGAGGAGCTCCAGTTGTATGGCTGCTTCACAACCAGAGTGACACTGGATTTACGCTTTATATAGTACTGAAATCATATTGAACACCTCTCTTAATACTTAAAAAAGTTTTCCAATTTTAATATTTTAATACAATATAAAGCTATACCAACATTTCAAAAATTTTGTTTTACATCTCAACTGGCAATCTCCCACAGTAAGTTCATTTGTATATTAAAATTCTATGCCAGATATTTTTCCCCATTCTGTTACTGTTTCTTCCAATACTTTATCTGCAGTTCTACCAGCATTCAACAAAGAGCAAACTCCACTGAATATAGTGGAATCCATTTATAAAGAGGCATCCATAGGACTGTGTCGTGGCTTGGCGTTACTGTGTCACATTTTCCTAAAAGAAAGACAACAGGCTCTGCTAGTAGTTGTCACCATGCTCTCATTCCATTTCAACTAAATTGGTCCAAAACTTTAAAAATATTAAATCAGTCCCACTGGCCAAATCTTTCCTTCAACCCTGCCTCCCAAGAGTGTAGCCCCCAGGCATGCACTCAGGAACATAATAAATTGCAATCTGCCTTGGCAATTTATGTGACTTCCCTTACACAAGTGCAAGTCACCAACAGAAGCCTTCCCCTCACTACTTCATCACTTTCAGTGGTAACACCTTATGCCACCACATCAGAGGCAATTTTTAAAAGCTCCCGCTACTTCTCTCAACACCACTTCAGGAAACACCACTCAAGAATCTCTCTAAGAGCACACACGGTTCGTTTGCCACATGCACTGCAGTTTATTGCCAGAGAATTAAAATCAGAAACATGGGATAACCTCCTGCATTCCCAAGCCTGACTACATGAAGCTGAAGCCAATCTGAAAATAATAAATAATTGCCATTTAAGAAGGATGCCAATGAACTGGAGCAAGTTCAAAGGAGGGCAACAAGGATGATCAGGGGACTGGAAACCAAGCTCTATGAGGACAGACTGAAAGAACTGGGCATGTTTAGCCTTGAGAAAATAAAGATTAAGGGGAGATAGGACATTTTCAAATACTAGAAAGTCTGTCCTACAGAGGAGGGGCAGGATCTGTTCTCCATCATCCCAGAGTGCAGGGCACATAACAATGGGCTCAAGCTACAGGAACCCAGGTTTAGGCTAAATATCAGGAAAACGTCTTAACTGTTAGAGCAAGATGACAAGAGAACCAATTACCTCGGGAGGTAGCAAGTGCTCCAGCGCTGAAAATGTTCAAGAGAAAATTGGACAACCATCTGTCAAATTTGCTTTGACTTGGATTCCTGCATTGATCAGGGGGTTGAACTCAGTGGCCTTATAGGCCCCTTCCAACTGAAACAGTCTATGATTCTATGACTATTTTAGTGTTGCAATGTAGCATTTACATTATTAGACTCTCTTGGATCAATTGTTTTTGGTGTTATTTTATAAACTGAAATGAAATCTGGAACTAAATCAAGATCCAAGTCCTATACTGAGACAGAGGAACACAGAAAGATGCTTTATGTGACATATACCTCTGGATCATCTGATTCTGTATTTGTCAATGCTGACTGGCAAGTCAACAACTGAGCTTCAGCCAAAGCACAAGAAAAAATCTAGCATTATCATTAGTTCCATAGATTTCAACAATAGTTCTGAGCATCCTGTAAAGGAAAATTGGGAAACTATCTTTGCCTTTTTCCTGACACAAAAACCTTAAGTGATTTCAGAGGAAATCTCTTGAATAAGGTAAGATACAATGAGGTCTAGTGAGAATCTGGACATTCTTTATACCGTGATACATTCGATAGAACTGCTGTACATACTAACCTAAAAATGCTCATAGAAGCATATGCAGCTACTTCAACATAAGCCTCGTCTACAAATACAGTCTTGAAACAGGAATAAGGGTAGCGACAGGTAAGTATCTCCTCATAGAACTCAAATACCTCATGGAGATACGATGTTGTATGTTTGAGCAATGGGAGAAGCTGGGGTAAACAGAAATGAGTCACCTATAGAAAAGAAGAAGAAAATGTAAGCTGAAAAACAGGTAAATATAAAAATGTGGAGCCTTATCTTGTGCTTAAGGAGACTGTTTTAAAAAGAGAATGCTTCAAAAGTTGTACTGATCATGAACTCACAATAATCCAAGGTTTGTTGGTCATCCAGGAGCTGCTGAGCAGCAAGGCATCTATCTCAGACTTCCATGCAACTTCATACAACATTACCAATCCTCGCAACATTTTAGAAATCCACCAAGAGAATTAATACTATATTTAATTGCAAAGTCTCAAGAATCAAACCACAACTAAAGAAGCAGCAGAGCACCACTTTTGAAGCAGCACAGCATGACTCCCGAGTATCACATTACTCGTAATTATTAGAATCCAAGTTAACTAAAACTGCTAATTCCAATGATAGGACTGCAAACACAGGAGGAAAGAGAAAACATTTACAAAGCAAAGAAACAGAACAAGCATTAAAGCTGTAACGTTGCTGGTCTTTTTTACATTATAATTCTGGACATGAGTACTTGATTCTAGTTCTTTCTTTAGTCACTGCCTTAAAGACTCACGGCAGCTGACAGTACATTTAAGAACAAAGCAAATAAACACAAATAAGTCCATGCATGACCAAATTAACAAGATATCACCCCATTTGCATTTACACAGCCCAATTCCAGTTCAATATGAAAAGCATCACACAAACGACATGAAGAATGTTACCTCATGCATGTATGGATCAACAAGAATTTCAAATGGCCCAATAGCCAAAGATATGTTAGATGCTGCAGTCGGAATGGCCAACATATAATGGAAGGTCTTTTTGCGCATATCATGAGTGTACACTGTTTCTACTAAGTCTCCATTCGAGACCGCCACCATCGTAGCATCAACTGTGTACTCCAGTTTCCATGTGCACAGTTCTGAAAAGGAGTCCACACAAGGAAACCAAAATCTGGAAAGAAAATTAAGGCATTGAAAGCAAATTATTAGTCTCAATTTGGGGTTAGACCCCCCCTAAACTACTGTATTGTGATATGTTACACTGACATATACATATTGTTGTCAACATTGTTTACTAAAATCATATAAATCTGACAGGAAAAAGGGCAGATTGGAAATTCAACCTCCTTCTGAACTTTTCTCAATGCCAAAACTACATTCTATTAAGGTCTAAATACAAAGAGCTATAAAAACCTGCTGTTTCTGATTTGTGGCAATGGATGGCAACTCGGTAAAGTAATTACTTCCAAAGTTAACAGCTCTGGGAAACTGAAGACTGTGGCTTCTTTTATTTAGTGAGTCAATCCATTGCATAGTAGATTTTTCCCCTTTTTCTGTTCCCAGCATTTCTGCTTTTGAAAGTGATTCATCTTCTAATATAGGCTCAATTTAGTCATTTTAGCTTCTGCTGGGAGTTTAGGCTTCATTTTATCTACCGGCCACTTATTCTGAAAGTCCAATGGCATCCATAAAGATGTTCTCTGACACCACAAAGTTGCCACTCTACATCAAAACCTTCAAGCACATTAAGTAAGATGCAGCTCTACAGTCTGATTAGTTTAGGTTGTCAATTAAACTTCCTCTTCACAGTAAAGCTTCACAAGTGTGCATGGCAAAGTGCACCTGAAATGCATGGCAACTGAAGGCCGCGCGTCAAAATGGCCTAGCCAAAAGAACAGGGAATTGTCAGTGAGTGAATTTCAATAGACCAAGGTAAGTCATCACTTAAGACAGGGACAAGCACCCTAGCTATCTACCTAGGCCAAAGCTGCGCAGTTCTGGAGATCGAGGCACCGATGTTCTGTTCCCTGGCCACCTCAGGGGCTGCACCCATCCTCCAAATAAACAAACATTATTGAAAATCAAACCTGAATTTTGCTGAAGGTTCATTTCCAGTTTCATATTTAAGGGTCTAGGGGAGGTGTTGCAATTTATTTTATTACAAAACCATCATTCCAGGAGGCTTGCAACATTGGAAAATGCCATTCTTTTCAGAAGGGTTTTTTTTTTTTTGGCAGGGGGTGAGATTGGGACTGGAGAAAAAAACCTGAGAGAGCAACATGTATCTCTGAGACCACAATTTGCTTATTCTTGCCCTAAGCCCACAGCCTGCCTGCCACCAAGGTAAAGTTACATATTTCCTTTTCAGATGGTTAACAGATTTTTTTTCACATTTTCTCACTTCTCACAATACTTTGTGACTATAGAGCTAAGGCTACTTACCATATTTTTCCATGTATAAGATAACCTGATGTATAAGATGACCCCCACTTTTCTAACCCCAGATTAGAAAATTTGATCGCTGCTCTCCCCCTCCACTTCCTAAGCCCCACGAAAGCCGGATTAAAGGACTGCGGAAGTAGAGGGGGAAAGCAGCGATCTTAGGAAGTGGAGGGGGAAAGCAGCAATGAAAGGGCTGCAGGATCACAGCCCTTTCATCCTGCAACCCTTCCATGACCGCTTTCCTCCTCCACTTCCTAAGCCCTGTGGGGCTTAAGAAGTAGCGGGAAAAACAGTGATCAAAGGGCTGCAATCCTGCAGCACTTTGATCCCTCCCCCCCCTTAATTCTCAAGGGCTGCAATCCTGCAGCCCTTTGATCCTCCCCTTAATTCTCTGTGTAAGATGACCCTCAATTTTTAGTCTAAAGATTTTAGATAAAAGTATCATCTTATATATGGAAAATACCATATATGATGCCAGTACTATCCAGGGTACTATGAAGATAAAATTGTCTAAAGATTTTAGATAAAAGTACTGTATCGTCTTATATATGGAAAAATACCATATATAAGGCCAGTATTATCCAGGGTACTATGAAAATAAAATTGTATGATTCTCACCTTGTAGAATTTTGATATCCACAAGAGAAGACATGGGCTCCTCTCTCTGCTAAACTGCCGTCCACGTTAGGTACCACAAAATGAAGGCCTCCCTTTGGCTGGTCCAGAGAAAAGTTGATATGTACCTTTAAGACTTTTAATTCTGTAGAATAAAATGGCAAACAGAATTTTAGATACACTTTGATACATTATCCGCCAAAACACTGCAAATTCACCCTTAATATTCCACCTTGCAAAAAGATTTCTTCATTTTATCTTCACCATATCAAGACAGAAAGGGAAAAACATAAGTGTGAAATTGAGTACAATCTAGGAATTCTCAGTGAAACAGGATCTCAGTCTAAAACACGTTCACTACGAGCACTGAAATACTGTATGATTATTTATCCAGTAAGTTTCCCTACATAAAGAGAACAATCTTGAGTGCTGGAGCAACTCCAAGACCTTGTCATAATATTTATCATAAAATGGTTTGCCTGATCTATATTCTTCACCATCAGAAGTACTACATCAACTTCACAACCACGGATGGGGGGCTGCTACAATTACATAGTACAAGACAGGTGCATCTACCATAATCTGCTAGCAAACCTATTTAAAGAATCAAAAAAGGGTTTCTATTCTTTACCATCAACATATTTCCAAAGTTCTGATGGCACCTTAATACACAACTCTCCATTTCCAGCATCTGAATCCACAGCACTGACTGCAGCAGCATAAGCATTGGAGAAGTAGTTGAGATTTCTCCTGCAACAGAAAAAGAAAAAAATTGCCTCTTCAGATTCAAATTTAAGCTGGATTGGGGAAAAGCAAAGCAAAGCAAAGCGTGCTGCTTATATACCGCCGCATAGTGCTTCAAGCACTCTCTGGGCGGTCTACAAGTTAATTATGCAGGCTACACATTGCCCCCCCCCCCAGCGACCTGGGTACTCATTTTATCAATCTTGGAAGGATAGAAGGCTGAGTCAACCTTGAGCCGGCTACCTGGGATTGAACCCCAGGACGTGAGCACAGTTTTGGCTGAAGTACAGTGGTTTAACCACTGCGCCACGAGGCATATACATTGGTGGCAATTTAAGAAAAATAATTTTAAAAATCAATGCACAAAGATACAAATACTAATAGCAACAAAACACAGTTAAAAGTCTTAAACAACAATATTTTAGTCGCGGTAGATTCTTTAACAGCAGTACCCCTGAACTAGAAATGTCACTGCTGAGTCAACCTTGAGCCAGCTACCTGGGATTGAACCCCAGGTGAGCACAGTTTTGGCTGCAGTACGGCGGTTTAACCACTGCGCCATGAGGCATATACATTGGTGGCAACTTAAGAAAAATAATTTTAAAAATCAATGCACACAGATACAAATACTAATAGCAACAAAACACAGTCAAAAGTCTTAAACAACAATATTTTAGTCACGGTAGATTCTTTAACAGCAGTGCTCCTGAACTAGAAATGTCACTGAACAGCCATAAGAAATTCAAAGGAGTTAGATTTTAATGTCATCTTTGAAAAGCTGCAAAAACTGCACAGTAGAGGTTATTCCATAATCTTGGGGGAAAGTTCCCTTTTCTGCCCTACATATCCTTATTCTATACAGCTTGTGAGAGGTTATTCCATAATCTTGGGGGAAAGATCCCTTTTCTGCCCTACATATCCTAATTCTATACAGCTTGTGTACATGGAACAGGGCCTGCCTGCATTGCACAATTAAACAGAAGTTGGGTACATATAGAAACAAGCTATCTCTGAGGCATACTGGTTGCAGGCCGTAAAGGGGTATTTAAAAAGGCAGGAACTGCCACCATCGATTAGATCAGGAACTGATGGTCTCATTAGCAGCCAGTATACCTCCCACAGAAATAGGCTGAATATGTTTCTGGCTCCCCCCATTGACAAAACACTGACTTCCTGAGGGCTGAAAGTTCGCCTAGATGATTGGAAGTATTTCTACTGTGGCGATAATCTTTTCCATTTGAATTATAATACCCGTATATTGTGTGGTGTTGTACATGCAGTTTGAAAAAAAAATTATATCTCAGATTTCAAACCACAAGTGCAAGTGAATTCAGAGTTAACAATCAGTCTAGCCTCAATGTATCCTACTCATTACTGCTAACTCCTCTATATCCTGTTGCACTCTAAAGGGAGGGGGGTGTCATTTCACAGTCAATTGAATCCCTTGGCTACGTAGCTTCACACCACACCTCTGACATTGTTTCAAAGTGCAATACAGTATAATGGAGAATACTGTTCTTCATCTGGGTCTTGCAATTTTTGTTTTTATAGAACCAGGTTTTTCTTCTTCTGAGCTTTATTTCTCTCCAGTAAGATACTTGATACTTATTCACTATTGCCTTCTTAACAACTGAATTATTATCTCGTGTTTGGAATAAATCAAATAAATTCAAATAATAAAAGGAGGAATATGGCATTTTTCCTTTTGACTTCAAGAATATTATATTTCCTATCATAGTTTTTTTACCATATATCCAAGTACTAAGCACAAGGTTGAAATGCACTGAAAATAAGAAATTGAATAGTATGGTCCTTTGCATGTTAACCCACTTACATAAAAAGTCAGATGCTAAAGGACTATACAATCCAGGTACTAGGAGGATAAAACTGCCTTGTGGCATAGTGCAGCCAGAACTCTGCTCATGATTTGCATTCAATTCCAAGTAGTTGGCTCAAGGTTGAGTCAACCTTCCAAAGTCAGTAAATTGATTGCTCAGCTTGCTGGGGGTGAAGTCTGTAGCATGCATAATTTAACTGCCCAGAGAGTGCTTTAAGTGCTACGGGGCTGTATACAAGCAGCATGCTTTACTTTTTTTTTTTTTTACAATAAAAGAGTGCCAAACATCAATCCTTACAAAAATCAGATGCAACTTCATTTTCAAGTTTTCCTTCTACCTCCCACACTTGTGTACCACATACTGAATAAACTGCATTTTAAAAAAAACTATCCTAAAAATGCAAAAGAAGCTTCTATTACTGTATAAGATAGTTTACCAGTTGCAAAACTGAACATCTGAAATACAGATCTCAAGTCTCCCATCTCTTAATGACAAAACTGCAGGGTAATTACTCAACTTAAGTTTTATCCTTTAAGGCAGAAGTGATAATTTACCCATGTAAATGAACCATGCCAGATCAAACACCTCATAAAGAATTTTCATGATTACCACACAGCTCCACAAACACAGGTCATTTCAGCAGAGCAAATGCATTTAATCAGCAATGAGAGGATCAAATGTTGGCTATAAATGATGCAGCAAGACAGTGTAGCAATTAGTTCTAGTTGTCTAGTTTTGTATTTTTTTTTTAGTTGTCTAATTTACTTCCAAACCTTATCTAAATCAGTTTCAATCCACTGGCATTCACAATCAAGTATGCAAAATAACACACCCAAGAAAATACCACTCAGTATGCCAAGTCGAAAATGCTAGATGTGAGTGCACCTAAACAAATCAAAAGCCAGCCCCAACGTAGTAATTACTTTTGAAATTGTGGAGTTCAGGTATTACTGGACACATCCTTGTTAACCATCTATGACATAATACACTATCTTCAGGATAATAAAGTTGCACAAGACGGAAGTAATGCCACATCCGTTGTGTTCTTCGTTACTTTGACTCCTATTTTATAAACCACAGATATCAAGTTTGGTCCATCTTCCACAAAACTGCCCTACAAAGATTCAGAGGTGGCTAGCTGATTACCTCTCAACCTTTGCAAAGCTAAACAAAGACAACTCCCTCAACTGCTCCTTGTAAGACTTATGGAAGAGAAAGGCAATATCTTTACAGATTACTTTTAAAAAACCCATATAATATGCATGCTTTCATGGATCAGGACCATCCACTTTGTCAGGCGTGTACCAATGTGAAGAACTTAGTCTAAAAGTTCATGGCAAGATGGATTTCACCAGCCATGTCTATCTTAGATGAGACTTCGATAAGACTTGGTCTCCCTCCATATTCCAGCTTTCTGATGCCCTTTATAAACCATGGTACCCAGAACGGCACACAGGGTCCAAATGATTCTCATGAACATCTGGCCCAAGCCAATGAAATTCTGCAATGCATTTCATATATTGAACCAACTTGGGATGACTGACAGAAACAAGGGAAATCAGATAGTGACTTTTCTTTCAACAGGAGTGTGGAACACTTTTCCATTCAAAGATATATGTTACCTGTGTTGAAATCTGCAGTGATCTCCATTCTGGCATAACCAGAACATAGGTCTTAGTAGCTGAAGTACAGCAATGGAATGTTTAAAAGCTTGCAAATTTTCATCTGTAAAATGTAGTGCACTAAAATCTATATGTTGTGCATATTTTTATGCTTTGGAATCCGCAGAGTGTTTACAAACACAAATAAACTGGAAAATCTATGCTGTTCGAAGCTCTACTGTACCAGCCACAGGCTGTCAGAGAGCTAAACTATTTTTCTATTGATTTAATTGAATATAAACTCTTACACATTATCAAAACCTCTGTACAGTGGTGCCTCGCTTAACAGGCGCTCCGTTTAGCGACAAAACCACATAGCGACAAAGCGATCGCATTGCGATGTTTTAAATGGGGTTTTTCTGCTTTGCGATGATCGGTTCCCTGTTGCACTTACCGATAATCGCAAAGCGATGATTTTTTAACAGCTGATCGGCGGTTCCAAAATGGCCACCGGGTAAAAAAAAAAAAGGCCGCCCACTGTGTTTTTTAACGGATTCCTCGCTTAAGAGGCAGTGAAAATGGCCGCCGTATGGAGGATCTTCGCTTTAAGGTCAGTTTTTTGCCCATAGGAACGCATTAAACAGGTTTTAATGTGTTTCTATGGGCTTTTTTTAATCGCATAGCGACGAAATCGCTTAGCAGCGATTTTTGCTGCACGGATTAACATCGCTATGCAAGGCACCACTGTATTTTTAAGATATTACTCGATGTGTAACATACCTTGCTGTTTAATAAATAAGCACTAGCATACATAATTGGAATGAAAAACTTGTTACTGTAACATACAACATAAACCATCTCATTAAAAACAGGCCCAAAGATTAATAATTAATACCTTGAACTGGTACATCTCCCAATTAAACCAATTAAAGCTTGAAGTCCTGATTATTGTGAAACCCCCCCCCACACTTTTTTTTCTTTTTTCAGGAGTCCCTTTTAGTGAAGATCAGATTTCGGGCTCTGCCACAAAACCTTGAAAGGAGCAGGTTCATGAAATTCCACCACCTTCCCATCATTGTTCTGCTTTCAGCATGAAACAATTTTGTATTTTAAAAACGTATACCATGATTTAAACCACAGTTTCAATTGACATGAAAGATTGGCTAAATTCTAGTAATCACAACTAGAGTGGGCTGACTAAATCAATGGAAATTATGGAGGAGCTGACTCACCAAATCACTACTGATTTGATGTAACTCTAGTTGCAAATTACTACTGGATTTCAGCCACTGATAAGAATTCTAGACACATCAGTGGCCAGTGTAGCCACTTTACTTACTGTTTTGATTCGTGGTGGCAAACTTCCAGTGTGGGGTCATTATAAATAAAAGCTGCTTCCAAATCATTCACTCTCACTCTATATATCCTACATTGTTTACTGTTCAGCTTGATCCTATTCAAGTTTGCAACTGTGGGAAATATTGTCAGCTCCACATAACCCTGTACAGATTCAAAAGAAGAACATCAGGAAGATGCATGCAATATACAGTATATTCAACACATATTTAACTCAAAAGTTTTATATTTAAATGGATTTTTTGCTCTTTTTTTAATGAAATGGAAGTTAGGGACATGGTGTTAAGGGATGTGGTGGCACTGCGGGCTAAACTGCAGAAGCCTGTGTGCTGCAGGGTCAGAAGACCAAGCAGTTGTAAGATCGAATCCATGCGACGGAGTGAGTGCCCGTCGCTTGTCCCAGCTCCCGCCAACCTAGCGGTTTGAAAGCATGCAAATGCAAGTAGATAAATAGGGACCATCTTGGTGGGAAGGTAACAGCGTTCCGTGTCTAAGTCGCACTGGCCATGTGACCACGGAAGTTTGTCATCAGACAAAACGCTGGCTCTATGGCTTGGAAACTGGGATGAGCACCGCCCCCTAGAGTCGAACGCGACTGGACAAAAATTGTCAAGGGGAACCTTTACCTTTACCTAATGAAATGGAATTTTAGCTTCAAAAGGATACCCCTTATGTATCATTTGAAAGATTGACACATAGAAATTCCCCTTCAAAATGTTTTCTAAAAGTGTAGTCTGTCTCAGAACTGCTCCACATTCTTTTAGTGAATATATGACTTGTAAAATCTACAACAATTCCAAGATCCTTCTTGCTCATCGTATTGCTGAGCCAAGTGTCCCCCATCTTGGAGCAGTGCATTATAGGCTTTTCCCCCAGGTATAGCACCCTGTTAAAATTGATTCTGTTGTCTTATCCAACCAGCAGGGATTATTCTCCCAGGTCTCTAGCAGAATTCCAGCCTACTACTAGAGCCTTTCAACCAGGAACTGAGTATGAAATTTTCTGCATGCAAAGCAAACATTCTACTTATGATCACTAGCTCTCCACCCACCCCCACCACTCCCAGTATACTTACAACAACAGATTTTCTTTGAAAATTTATGTTGTTGATACAGACCACCTGGTGGGTTGTGCTAGGAAAAGCAGGAAGGAAAAAGAATACAAGATAAGGATCATGACACATATAAACATGCATAAGTGGAAAGATGTGAAACAAGCTGTTGGCCCACTTCCCTCCATGCATTCATGTGCAACATAACAACTTTTAAGATGTTGATCTTGCAAGACATTTTTCTGGAAATAATAATTTTCTTTTCACAAGTAGTTAATTAAGACAGAATTTCTAGCAGCTTCATCACAGATGCTCAAGTAACATTAAGTTAGTAACAATTATATCATGAGTATACAGTATATAAAATTTTTGATAAATGTTTAAATGATTCATTGATTGTACTAACATGCAATGATGCTACCAAGGATTCTGTAGTTCATGACATAAAGGCTCCTAAAATGTACAACTGATGCTAATAGTGCCTTCTTTCCCAACTTTGGGATGCAAGAGATCAAGAAAGATCACTACAGCAGTAGCCTTCCCTGCTGTTCCAATCCAATCAACTACAATAGCACATTTCATGTACTTTGGTTCCACATCTCTCTTTTGCATCTGCACAGTACAATTAGATGGGGAGGGGGCCCAAAACAGATTTCCACCATTCCTTACAGAAATTACTTGGAAGCCAACAATACACGTGATGTGCAACATAATCTGACAAATTAGCTAAACTGAGATCATGGCATTTCATCCTGAAAAAGTAATACAGCTCACATTTAAAAATATAATAAAATCAAGTCACTTTAAAAAAAATCCAGTCCTATTTGTTTGTAGGTTATATTGTATGCCACTTTTGCACAAAAAACTGATTTGGGTGGATACAGAATTTAAAATTCATTTACACGTACAAAAAATAATGCAGCCTCCCACATCTTGATGTAACTGATGACTGTATGCACCCAAGTCAATTCCACTTAACGCAACCCTTTCCAGGGTTTTGTAAGCAGAGGGTAGTCAGAAGTTGTTTACCATTACCTTCTTCTGGGGCCACCCTGAGACTGTGCAGCTTGCCCAAGGCTACACAAGGTGGCTCTTCTAGGATGCATAGTGGGGAACTCCCAACTGCTGGCTCCAGAACCAGATAATATTTGATTCCAGCCAGCTGACTCATAAAATAACTGCTTGTCAAAAACAACTCCAGAGCTTTATCTCATCATTTTTCTACAGTAACTTTGAGCAAATGTTGTAGAAGAGGTAGCCATGTTAGTCTGTGCAAGCATTATAGGTAGAAGCAAAACAGAAATTAAAAGTTAAAAAAGAGAAAAACATGGTGGCACCTTCAAGACTAACTTTTATATTTTTAATGCGAGCTTTCGTGGACAAATCCACTTCATCAGACATAAATTGGAGTACACAGGCACATTTTTGACAGCAAAACCCTACTGCATCTCTGTTTCAAAATAATCAACCATGGTCATAAGAAACAGTAACAGATACTTATAATTTATATGGTCTTGGGCTCTCAAACCCCTTGTCTCCTTTCTTCCTGTTCATGATGAATTACAGCAGTGAACCTCAGCAAAGATTGACCACCACACTCATTAGGGTTCTTTCCAAATGTATTTGACTTCTTCCTTTCTTCGCAAGAATCTTCTGAATAAAGATTTTTCGGTGATCTTAAAAAACCATACAGTTGTCCAACTTGACAGCGCTATCCATTAAAAACATGTAAGTCTCCACAAGAATAAAGATTTTAGGAGATGTTTAAAGTCATCCTTTATTTAAAAGCTAATAATATTGATATCCTACATGGGACATCTATGCATTGTTTGGTGTCTGTTTTACAACCCATTTGCAGTTTATGAAGCAGGAAGCTCATATGTCAAAAGAGAGCTTCTTCCATCTAAGTTAAAAGATGAGGGTGGGTTTTTGTTTTGTTTTTGCAGTCCTATTAAATATAATCTATGGCTTTCAAACATGAAGTGTTAGATTTTTTTTGTTAATATGAACATTCTGCTGGGTATTGAAAAATAGATTGGTGTATCCTCAAAGAGTCTTGGAAGAAACAGCAATTTCTAAAGGCAGGTCCCTCAGCTGAAGCTGTTTTTCCAGAACAAGGGCCCGGGCTTTTAAAAAAAGCTTTTATTAGTCTTATATTGGAAAAGAAAAAAACACACACACTAAGAATAACCTAAAAACAATCTTGCTGGCTCCATTTCAGAAGGAACATCTATATCAAACATGCCACAAAGCCCTAACCCTAAAGGTAGAGTTAAGTTCACTATTGGAGCCTCTGGTAGGTCAGTAAGTCAATGTTCTTTTCTATTTGAGATAACATCAGCAGTAACATCCCCAGTCTTTTCAGTCTGCTCTGAAGGTAAGTATCTGGCATAAGTACGAAATAGGCCAGCTGTCAAGGCTTCCAGGAACAACTAAAAGCATCTATAATAGAGCTCGTTTACTACTACAGATATCCGGTATTTTCTTGAGGGTTGCTTTCAGAGCAGGATTCGAAGGTCCTCCTGACAGCAGGTTCAATGCTGTTGCGAATGAGCATATAACAACTCTGGGCTGGCTGAAGCTCAAGCTATCAAAGCAGGGGGGCACCTCCGGAGGCTGAAGGCAGCTGGTTCTGAGGTAGACTCCACAGGCCGAGGTCGAGAAGAGAGGGGCAGCCGTCTTGTTCAGAAACAGTGTCGCTGGCTCTGCAACAAGGCGAGGACTCAGCCGGCGTGAAGAAGGTGCTCCGTGGGCAGAGCAAATGCGGGAGGCAGCGGCGGGACGTCTCCGTCTAAGATAAGGAAGTTTCCCGGTCGGGAAGCTCCGGGTGCGACACCGTCCGCCCGACCGGCTGAACTTGCCCTAAAAACCCTTCCACGCCTCCTCAGTCACTGAATTGCCTTCACCGGCGCTGCCGGCGCCATCTTGTTTGTGACCTCTGACCTCCCGTCGCCGGAGAGGGGAAAGGTCAATGTCGCCTTCATAGCCGTTTGTGTGGAGGAGTGAAAGCTCCCTCCGTCCCCCCCCCACTTTTTTTGAGAACTCAATTGAACGTGGGGGAAAAAACTATACGATAAAGTGAGGAAACAGGACGCAACATTAATATATATATATTTTTTAAAAAATAATAACCGTGGAGCGCATGCGCAATAGCTGCCAAGTCGTTGGCAAACGAGGAGCACGCATGCGCAGTCCGAAAAAACGGTTCGTACGTTGTTGCGGGGGAATTATTTCACGCCAATATAAGGCTCCAGGTTTGGCAGGCAGGAAGCCTGGGAGTTATTTAGCGCTGGTATGCATTGCATCCTAACCGGTGGATATTAGAAAGCCCAAGAGGCACGAAGCAAGTTGGGATGTCGGTTCTCCACACTGTCTTGTACTATTATTTTTTTCATTCCGGTTACGTCAGAAGGAAATTTTGTTTCAGAATTTGGCTTCATACCAAAGAATATGCCACTTCGAAATGTGTTTCCGCTTGAAAGGAAAAAGACATGCAAAGTCAAATAGGATTCTCAGCACTTGGGGGGGAAAAAAAGGAAGCCCTCGATATTTTTTTAATACAGCTCTCCATAATCCCTGTACTATCCGCCAGCCATACTGGCCAAGATAACTGAGGTTTTATGCCATTGCAAAGTTCTCTTAACAACGAATTCGCAGATTTATGGGGCAGGGAATGATGTGATTCATTTTCTAATAAATATTTTCTACAATTATTACACCACCGGTACTTTGAGCGTGCTAAATTAGAGTGAAAATAGAGTAGTGCAGCTTCCTGTATCTCACAGTGGCCCCACCAGATGCCTCTGGCAACACAGGAGACAACTAGATACCTGCCTCCTGATACTGTCCCCTGCAAGTTGGTATTTGGTAGTATCTTCCTTTTAAGCCTGGAGATGATACATCCCCATCATGGCTTGTAACCTGCGATGGACTTTTCCCCCAGGAATCTGTCCAGTCCCCTTTTAAAGGCATCTAGGCGATACGCCATCACTACATCCTGTGGCAAGGAGTTCCACAGACTAACAACA